AGGATATACTAGCTCATTTTATTTGACCTTAATGTTGATATCTAATTTTCTCATCATTGATTTTAGGTAGGCATCGACATACACATCTAGGACGTCTTTTACCCTCACTTTTACCACTCTTTGTCGTCCTAGATGACCAGTTTATCTTTATCTAGTACCATACCCTAAACCCAAAACCCTTGTTTTCAATCCTCATGCATTCTCTCTTTAGTTTATATCAGCAAATATGTGCAAAAAGGTCAGAGAGAAGAGGAGCGATGCAGTTTTCAGTCACTCACAAAGAAGACTGAATGGAATTGGGAAGGAAGAGTATCAGAAACCTCATGAAGGTTTACAAGACAAATATTAACTGGTAATCTCGAGCTCTCTAAGACTCTATATCTAAAGGTGTTCCCTTTCTTCAAAAAAAAAAAAAAATTAATGAAAAAGAGAGAGGGAAACAAAAAAGCCTAATGAGTCTTAGATTGACGAAATTTGTGGAGCAATAAGCAACCACTATTCGTTTAAGAAGCTATGGTTTTGAAAGATTTACAAAAATCTAAGTCTGGAGGAGTTAGGAGAGAACCTGAGGAAGAAGATCAGGAATCAATGGCAAGAAGAAAGTGACTGAAAACTGTGGATACCAACAGCTTCACTCTCTCTTGCGGTTTTGTATAATATCCTGCATCCTCCAGATCTTCAGGTAACCCGTAAACACTTTAAGCCTTACCCCTAGAATAATCCTTTTTGACACCTAGCCTAGATTGCCTTACCTAGACTTTCTTTGATGAGAACCACCGAGATTTTTAATGAATCTTAAGAGCTAGTTGACTGGAAGTTAGATCTTAGTGCATAGATTTCCGCATGACAGATTAACGGACTAGTTATGCCTGTATTGCTAGTGAGAATTTTCTAGGTTATTCCCGATTGCTGCATACTAATTGATATTGGTCTAGAAGTTTGGTCTCTGAGATTTTGTTTAGTTCCTGCGTTTTCAAACCTCTCACCGAGATTTAGCCTTTGTTTTGTTTGAGGACAAACAAAAGACTAAGTCTAGGGGAGTTGATAACACCGGATTTTGACCATTTTTATGGATCACTTTAATATCTTTTACAGGTGTTTTTACTCTATTTTCAAAGGTTTTCAAAGGATTTCTATGTTTCCGGATTTTAAAAGACTTTTCAGGTAATTTGGGATAAAGAGGCACAAATTGGAACAAAAAGACTCTTTTGGATAAATGCAGACCGTCAGAACTCTCATGGAGAGACGAAGACCTTCTCACCGTCTGATCACCCTCAAAATTGGACAACTTATAGAAGAATCAACCAGCTTTCAAATGCACTTGGTTTGGAGACATTCCAACGGTTGGATCTCAAGATATTCCATTAGCCCTGGAGCCACTCGAAGACGGCCAGCAAGTCACGCGACTGCGGCCAACAGCCTATTTCCCGCGGTCAGAAGCCTTCCGACCGCGGCCAACCACCAAATCCCCGCGGTCACGTCACTCCCGACCGCGGCCATCAAGCTCCGAACTAAAGCCCATATTTCTGAAGCCCAAAGTCATTCTCAGCCTCAATTCCGGAACCCTAGAGACCATGGAGTATTGAAGACTATAAATACTTGTCATTTAGGTCTTTTTTAGAGAGAACCCTTCATACTTTACAGAAACCCTTTTTCTTTAGCCGTTTTTATGCGATTTTTGTAGAAGATTAGTCAAGTCCGAGTTCTTCAATAGAGAAGCTTTCTTCATCTCTTTTCTTTACTGTTTTTCATTACTTTTATTAAAACCAATGATGATGTCGACCTCAGCCATGTCTGAGTAGATCCCGAGTTGGGCTTAGGGTTCCCGAAAGGGGCTCTCATAATCGATTAAGACATCTAGGTTTATAGATCTGGGATTTCGACCTGTTCTCTATTTATTCTTGTTCTTATTGCATGTATGCTTGATTGATCACCTAGTATCTGATCTAGATAGTTAGTGTTGCGAAAATTTTCATTAAGTATCAGCCCTAGAATGAAACAGGCGATTTTTCCGTAGGAGTGGAAACCTACCTGCGGCGAGATCGTGAGTATTGACGAGTCTTGTGCAGCTCTTGCGTTCTCTCCCTTCCAGGGCCAGAGTGGAAACCTACTGGTCAGGGTTGCGAGAAACAGTTGATTATGATCACGACAGTGACATAGTCATACCGCCGTACTCTAGCTCTAGAACCACCTATATATCGATATCCGTCAATCTCAATTTATCTACCCTAGTGTCGAAACCGATTATGATCCCTTAGAGTTCCCAAACGCTCAGCGTTTTTAGCCATTATTTACAAACCAATCGATTTTTACTTGCTCATTTAGATCTGCTTTTCAATTGCCTTAGTTCGATATTTTACATGCTTACTTGCTTTCCATTTGATTTTTCTACTTGCTTTCTAGGATAGATTTATTTGCTTACTTTAAGTTTTAGTTTAATTCGTGACAAACAACCAACCTTTAAAACCAATCTAGTCTAGACATAAAGTTAAAAACCGTAGAAGAATATCAGGCACACAAATCTCTGCGGATTCAATCCCTAAATACTACAACTGATTACCTGTGCACTTGCGGCTTTCATTTGTTTTGTTAAGGGTAAAATGTATTCCCTCACGCAGTTGACTCGACATCAAGATTCACATAAATGAGAGAGGAGTTTCAACGATCGAGCAACTGCTTGCGGATGTGGAGTTACAAGATGATCTCATGAGAGGTATTTTCATTTCTTAGCTTCTCCTTTATAAGTTTCAATGCTTGATTCATGTTTTTTTTTGGGTTTTTTGATGTAGAGAATGACCCTGATTTAACGCAACCTAACTGAAGTATGTGCAAAGTGAAATCATGTTTGAATCTGCTTTAAGGTAAACCATTTTATAGTTGTAAAAACCAGTGTTGTGGTGATTGGTGAAACTGATATTGGTTGATTAAGTCTAAACCCTTTATTTGTTTACATGTTAGGTCTACAAGACATGAAGGCATGGATGGATCTTGATTGTCACAGAAAGAAAAGAATTGGTTTCTAATCTCTATCTACTACTTTATGTTTTAAGATTTAACCGTTTAAGACTTTAAGTTTCAAGTTTCAACTTTGAACTACTATTGTGAGCATGTTTCAGTGCTTTGTGTGTTGCAAGAACTTTGTTGTTTGATGAATTGATGTTTCTTGTTCGGATATTTTTTTTTTGCATTTCAAGGATTCAATGTTTTAAGTTTCGGATATGCTATTGCCTTTCGGGTTTATTTTTATTATTTCGGTTACATTTTTTTATTTTTGGTTCTTGTAGACCCGAACCGAATCAGGATCCAGTTTTTTCGGGTCTTAATTTTAATATCCGAATCGACCCGAAAAATTTGGTTCATACCCGAAACCGAACCGAAATTCAATCAGTTCCGATTTGGGTAGAACAACTCCATACCCGATTGACCCGGAACCGATCGGATCCGGCCCGAACCCGACCCGAATACCTGAATGCTCAGGCCTATCCATAATGGCATTTTTTGTCCTAACGGAATATAAAATGTTACTTGCTTAATTATAGCATATACATTAAAAATTGGTTATTAACTTAATTATCTCTAATTTTTTTTTTCTTTTTTGGTCAAGTATCTCTAATTTGTTTTTGATTGTTTTTTTCCCCTTTTTGTAAACAAAAAATTTGAACAATTTCATTTGTGTGTATCATTCATTACTTAGGCTTGACTAGTTTAAACGCAGCGGTTGCGGTTGCGAGTGCGGGAGTTTGCGGAAGCGGACGATTGCTGTTTTGAGCGTTACTCAACGGTTTACACAAATGGTTAAATTTTTTAAGGCGGATCCGTTTGCAGGACATTTTTGACTGGCAAACCAGCGGTTGTTTTAGCGGTTAAACGTAAAATTATCAAAATAAATATCATATATAATTATAAAAAAAAGAAAAACTAAATTATTATGATTAATATCAAAATCACTAGTTCAAAATAATTAATAAAAATTATAAATAAATACTAAATAATTATTTTAAAAACTAATTAATTTTATAATAATATATTTTATTTCAATTATTGGGAACATCGCCCAAAATTGTGTCTAGTAATGTAATAGACTGAAAAAAAATTGTTTCAGTACGTGGATCTTCTGAATTTGTCTTATGCTTGATGTAAAATTTCTCCAATTGATCTAATCGATTTTTGCACAACCCCAACTCAAATCAACTCCAAATTGCTCATTAGTATTCTTCAAAATACGTTCTTACTGGAGTGCACTAAAAAATCTAGGATATTTATCTTGAGTTTGTTTTTCCACGATGATCCGTTGAAGTAACGCACATGGCATGTAACTTTCTGAAGAACGAAAAAAGAATTATAACAAACTAATTTTGTAATTAATAAGATATATATATTTATAATTTTTTACATTAAAAGTGAAAACAGAACAATTAATATAAATGAATTAAACCAAACTATTATGACACTTATGCTTGTATCTTAATTTTCTTCAACTGATATGAAAGCCATGATTAGAGACTATAATTTGATAGAAAAAGTGAGAGGTAAGGGTTTATATATATATATATATATATATATCTATGAGAAGATTAGTAGGGTTAGGTTTTGTAATTGTTTTTAACGTGATTTTTTATTTTTTTTCTAGCGTGATTTTATTTTAATTTTTTTTTTACCTAACCGCTACCGCCCGCAACTGCAAATGTTGACGGAAAACAGCTTTTGAATTTCAGCAATATAAAACGATACAAAACGGTTTGCAGCGATTTCTATGATTGTGATAAAACGCTACTAACCGCTACCAACCGTAAATGCTGCGTTTGCAGATGATAGCGGGTGAACCAATCAACACCTTAAAAGTAATTCATTTAGCTTAACTTTAGGGGGTGTATTGGAACAGAGATTTTAAGATATTTTAGGTTTTGGATACTTAGTGTCTTTAGCGGTTAGCTTCTTTGTGGATTCGATCCTAGCTCGATCTGAAACTTTGCACTTGCGGTTAGAATTAGGTCTTTTAAATTTTTTTTTTATCGTCATTTGCATTATAAAAACCCAAAACGGGCAAGTACAAAGGGTGGATAGGCCCAACAGAAATAAACTAAAGCCCAAATACAAAATATGAAACGTGTTACAATAAAGGGCATAAGATAACACGTGTTAATAGACGTGGGAGCATGCATGTTGGTTGAAAATCTTGACCGCTGCATCACCGCAAATCTCACAGGATCCGATCTATCCTTCTTCCTCCGGTGACTATAATCTGCAAAAAGCAGCCGATTGATTCCAGATCTTTCCACCACACAACTTTTTGCATAGACCACCAATTAGAGCAGATTCCCACTAACCATTTGATTATTGAAGCACAAGAAGTTGCAGTAAGGCCAGAGAGCAGAGCAGACTGCAAAACACGCTCACTTGTTCTGATCTAAACAATCCAACGAGTTTCACATATCACGATTCTCTTGCACACAAAGAACCTTCATCCATAGCCGACTCTTACGGCCCCAATAGGGGGTATATGAAGGATTGTACCAGGAATCCAGCACATCAACGGAAGAAGAGCCTCTGAGCAACACCCGGCCTTTGTCGGAGAAGATTTAAGAACCGCAAAAGGATAGGAAAACTAACAAACTAACTAAACAAAAACTAAATCGGAATACGGTCAGAAATTTTATTATCCGGACAACGCCGGAAAACTTAAGAAAAGAAAACCAAACATGTCCGAAAGAGATCCGAACATAATCGGAGATTATCTACAAGAGAAGATAAGTTGAGAGCTTTCCTCTCTCTGAAAGATCCGAGATAGAGAAGAGAGAGAAAAGCCCCCCCACTTTAAAAAATTTAACCATCCATCATTTATATTCATAAGATTCATTAATTAATCAAAAGAAACCGATATACTTGTCAAATTTTAAACTTCAATAATGGACACTGATAAACATTATTATTAATTACATGAAATACTAAAGATCTTATAATTGACTGAAATATAAGAAAGGCGAAATGACTCTACCCAAAAAAAAACAAAGAAAACATGATTATTATCCGATCACTGCTTCTTCTTTTTGTTTTTTATAAAACATTAGGGGACTAACCCTTATTTAGAAAATAAAGTTTTACATATATACTTTCTAATCTTACAGTATGGTTGGAGGACCAGCAATTTTGGAGCACTGTTCTTTTAGCATAGGAGGAAAAAACGGATTGACTGGAAATTGTTGTGTGCAGCTGGTTTCAGCTTCCAAATAAGCTTTACAACAAGCAGGACCTATACTAACAACTTTGCCGGTCATTATGGATTGAGCAATCTCTGCAAAACATCCTGGAATATTCATCAATGTTGAGAAACATTTGTTCACGTCGGGCATTTGTGGCATGCCGGGACTTGGAGGTGGAAGCTGCGGTGGTTGAGCATTCATGGAACCTGCCATGCATATAGCCATTAGGAGAAAAAACGCACTCTTCATTGACATAATAAATTTCAATGAGAACTATGCAACAAGCGAAAGAGTTTAAGAAGTTCAATATATGTTTTGACAAGTCTATTTTTGTTTTGGTGAAAGCAAGTAATTGGCTATGTGGTCGAATTTATAATAAAAAAATGGAGTAGAGATACTGTACTAATTAGCTATTTGAGTTACTATCTAATCAATTGTCGTTTTATAATTGAAAAGGAAATAAAAGCAGTAAAAAAGGTAGGATACTGCACTTTTATATTTGGTACATTGAATTTTATGGTATAAAACATTTTGACCACTTTTGCATTTGGTCTATAATATTCTTTTTTCTTTACTAATTGTAACCGTTTTGTTTTTGTAATGGCTGTTTGCTTTTAGCTTATTTCTTAGAGATTTTAGATCTAAAGTAATGGTTGTAGGCTTGTGGCTTACAAAAGGGGTTAAAGCCACGCTTTATTGGCTATAGAACAAAAAGCAAAAATTAAAGAAAGGCATGTAAGTGTTTTTCAAAATATCTTTGATGACTTTTAAAATCACTAAAGCTTGATTTGTTAAAATGTGCTTTAAAAGGAAGCTAAAACCTATGTACTAATCAGTAATCACCCCTTAATTGTGAGTATTGGCTTTTAATTTAATTTATAGAGATTTTAGCTGTAATGTTATGGTACTTTAAACAAATGTTAAAGCCATGTTTTATCAGCTTTAGAACAAAAAACCAAGGCAACTACAAATTGTTAAAGTTTGATTGGTTTAAAATGTTAAGGATTTTGTTAAGTCTTTAAAACCACAACTTAATTTCTTTTAAACCATTCGGGCACTTTACATATGGTACATAAATCTACACCATAAGTATATAGGTTTAGACCCAAAGGGTTTTCAAGTTCATGAAAAGGACGTTGCCGAATCTCGACAAGCTTGCAGCTTATTCTTAGAGGTACATTGACTCTCGGCCAGTGCATTATTAAATCGGGCCTGTGCAATGGATGGAATTTCTATTTATCGAAATATGTGAGTTTGTCGTTGTTTTTGCTATAATTTAGCCACGGATTATTTTTTTACGCTAGATACAATGTGAGAACTAATTGGTTTTGCCAACTTTAGGTCTCTAGTTTTCTATTTGTTAAAATGTCCCCTCTCTATCGAGAGATGACACTTATCATGATTTTCCTATTTATATGATATGAAAACAAACTGCATGCGTCTGAAAGTGTCGGGGATTGATATGTTACGCACATGATCTATTATGTGAGAAAGAATCTAAGGAATGGCTTGAAGAGGATGAGGAGAAAATTGAAATCCATCATAGATGAATAGGTTTGCATCGTCTAGTATATAATAAAACTATAGACAAAGCTGGATCTGAGTACAGGCTAATGAAGCATGTACTTCAGGGCTGATGTTTTTTTAAAAAAATTTGGGGCCAATTTTCTTGAAAATGAATTGGTTCAGTTGGTCTTGTGAGTCTGACAATTTTTCTCATTTTTTAAAAAGTTGGTCTACCACTTATCCCACATCGAAAAAATTAGAAAATTTAGAAGAGGAAATTGTAGTATAAATAAGTCTTGATATTACTCTCGTTTATTAATTAAAAACTGGTGTTTTTTTCTTACATAAAAGATTAAGAGGTCATTTTTTTCTCGCCAGCTCTAACTACAGATACATTAATTAGTGATATATCTAGTGATAATACAGTGAAAAACCAAACTTAGATGTTAAACTACTTAGGTGTTAAACAAAAAAAAAACGTTTGATTTTTCACTTTATCATCACCAGATATAGCACTAATTAATGTATATGTAATCATATCATGAAATCTATTTCTGGAATAGTAAACATATCCAAATTGATCCATAGGTTGATCAACACCATTACTCTCGGACTATTTCTTTCTTCTTTTATTAACTTGACAACTTTCTTCATGGGAAAACCATATAAGTTGTTTGTGTTAAAACCCACTTGTACGTAAATGCTTCTTCACATTACAAATATTCATATACTTCTCGTTTATATACTTATAATGTGGATAGAAGATTCTCTCGTGTTCGCGATCAAATGGTTAGTTTATCACTTCGTACATGAACATTTGTAGACCATCATCGCAAAACTCTTTTGTTACTTCACCACTAGTGCGAATCGCAGTGTGCGATATTTACGCATACACATCTAAGTCGTAATGAGTATGTTTCATGCTTCGAAGAAATATTTTGACTATGAATTTATATATGAGAGAACATTTGGTTTCATTTGTTATTATTATTGTTGTTGTTATTCCATCTGTCCCATTATATAAGATGTTTAATGATTCTTTTTTTGTTTTATTACATTAGATAATTAGATGTATTGCAATCTTTTAAGCAAAATTTAGATGCATTTAAAATTAGCTCTAAACTTTTTAGTTAGATGATTAAAAGTCTGGGCATTGCTTGAGATAAGAAGGCTCACTTATCTAGTAAGCGAAGCTCTGTATATGTTGCAGAGGTTTAATCAAAATCAATCAATAAATCAGTAACGCTTTGAGGAAAGATGATGACAGTTTCAGTGACAGCCACTTCCTCATCTCTCTCGTCGTGCTCTCTCCTTCCTTCAAAAGGTCTCTCCTTTACCAATCTTTCTTTCTCTCCTTCTCTCGCTTAATGTAAAACACTTGGTTTTTATATTGGGTGTTTTGGTTGGTGAAGTTACAGGGCCAAACTGGCGAATTCAATGGAAAACAAACGAAAAGGTGTTGTTTTTATGCAAATCCTCGTTTTACCCATCAAAATTCGAATCTAAACTGATAAATTCTATTCGGAACATGGCCAAGGAACTATATGTATAGATAGTGTTTGATGAAATGCTTGAGTGAAACTTGAACTTGTTTTGTTTTAAGCACATCACTCTAATCCAATAACAGAAAACACTTTCTTTGGTTTCTCAATTTCTTGTTGTTGTTTTCGATTGGGCAGAGACGGTTATCAAGAAAGATGGCTGTTTCAGGTGTTATCACAGCAGGATTTGAGCTGAAGCCTCCTCCATATCCTCTTGTACGTTTTCTTATATTTTGTTATCAAGACCCAAACTTTTAGGTTTGGATTTTGATTTGATATAATCATATCATTGGGTTAGTGTATGCACATCTTGTGGTGTAACAATACAGTAGTGATACAGGGCCTTGAAACTTGATGGCGACTCAAAACTCATTAAAACCTTTTCCTGCACTAGTGAAGTAACTTTGTGATCCTGATTGTTGTTTTGGTTCAAACATTGCATCAGTTTCGTGGCTCAAAAACATTGTTCTCAATACCAAATGGGAGATGTTGCTCACTCTGTGTCTGTATATGGGCCTTCTGATTTATGGCAGGATGCTCTGGAACCGCATATGAGCCGGGAAACCTTGGATTATCATTGGGGCAAGCATCACAAAACTTACGTAGAGAACCTGAACAAGCAAATCGTAGGTACAGATCTAGATGGAATGTCACTGGAGGAGGTTGTGCTTCTTTCATACAACAAAGGCAATATGCTTCCTGCGTTCAATAACGCCGCACAGGTAATGCCAAATATTTGCCTTTACAGTTTCTTCCACCGGTTTTTGGAAAAATGAAACAATTTCTATCTACTAAAATAGATTATTGGATACATATAAGTGGCAGTAGTCTCCCATTTTTTTGTCGATATATTGCCGTAGATAGCTACATACACTGAGACGTGAAAAAGAATCACTTGGTTAATGCATTGACATGAGCATTTTAGTTCGTTGTAAACTGTGGAACACGAATAAGGTTTAGGACAAATGGGTAACCCCGACCTTGTTCTTAATCTGCGATGGGTTCCTTTCTCTGGCTTGAATGTGAATTTAAGGTATTTGAGGGGCTTTGCAGGCATGGAACCATGAATTCTTCTGGGAGTCTATCAAACCTGGTGGTGGAGGAAAGCCAAGTGGAGAACTCCTCAGACTGATTGAGAGAGATTTCGGGTCTTTCGATGAATTTCTAAAAATGTTCAAGTCAGCTGCAGCCTCGAACTTTGGTTCGGGTTGGACTTGGCTTGCATGTGAGTATTTTTAACTTTGTTGTTCCCATTCCACTAGAAAATATGCAAACGTCAACTTACTTAAGCTTCTGGGGATCCACTAATGCAGACAAGGCTAATAGACTTGATGTTCCAAATGCCGTAAATCCGCTCCCAAAGGAGGAAGACAAGAAGCTTGTAATAGTTAAAACTCCCAACGCAGTAAATCCACTCGTATGGGATTATTCTGTAAGTGTCTAAACGTCCAAAATAGAAATGAACCTTTGTTGTTGGCTATAGTATTTGATTTCCTCACTTTTTGTCTATCGTTTATGTGCAGCCACTTCTCACCATTGATACCTGGGAGGTATATTATAAGCTATTCGTTTCTCTCTCTGAATTCACATAGAAAGATTGGTTTCTTGATCCCTGACTTAGTTTTCTTTTTCCTCTTTGTGCCAAACAGCACGCCTACTATCTGGATTTTGAGGTATCATCAAAATGCCGAATGATTTTTTCACTAAAGTTAGAAGCAATGGTTCTCAATTCTCATGACTCTTGTATTCTGTGCAGAATCGAAGAGCTGAATACATAAATACATATATGGAAAAGCTTGTGTCATGGGAAACTGTGAGCACAAGGCTAGAATCTGCAATGGCTCGAGCTACTCAAAGAGAACAAGAAGGAACAGATACAGAAGATGAAGAGATTCCAGATGATGAAGAGCCAGAGGTTTACTTAGATAGTGATATTGATGTATCTGAGGTTGACTAAAAACCTGAGAAGCAATAACATTAGCATCTGAATGAAATGTCAAATTACAAAGAGTAGAATTTTTTTTGCTTATTAAGCCTTGATCTTTAAATAATTTTTTTGACTGCTCTAAAAACAAAAACCTTTGTGTTACATATTTACATTCCTCCTATGTGGTCTTGTGATGAGTTACGAGGAGACCTGTGATGAGGCAAAGTCAATAATCTTTCTACAGATGGTGAATGCCTGTAAACCCTTTGTAGACCATATGGTATCTGTTGTTGCCCATGAACTGGAGGAGAGTACTCTCGAGGCAGTCTCTGTCCATGAACCGGAGAGTATGAACTTGGAAGCAGGTGTTCATATGCAGATACACTTCTTCCTAACCCACCAGGAGGAACCATATATTCAGGGGATCTCCTGAGACTTGAGCGATGAGGAAAAGATGATGATGGGCCGAGGTAACTACTCACAAGAGCTGATATTTCATCTCTATCTCCGTCTATGTGACTAGGAAAGTTTCGATCACGGTATATAGGAGAATAAGATGAGGAAGCTGCTGGTGGCATTTCCATCTCTGACAACCTCGGACGTTTCATCTGTTGATTGTACAATCTCTTGGTGAGTACGGCTTCCTCCATTAAACTGATGGATCTTGCTTGCTCCTCCATCTGTTTGTCGATCTGAAGAGTGTCTTTCTCTAGCTTGACGATTTGCTCTTTGATCGGCCACCCTGGTATTTCTTTCGCAGGGTCTAGCTTGTGAGCCTCCAAACACTTCGTCACTGATAATAACGCGGCTAACTGTTTTTCAATCGCTTCTTTCTGTTTAGATAACAAAAGCTAACAATGGTTAGATTTCCAGATGAGGAAAAAGGGTTAACGAAAGTATACACATAATGTGCAAGAAAGAATCATACAAATGCCGTAGGTGAGTGTGCTTTCCGTTTAGCCAACTCAAAAGACTCCTTGCTCTTCCTTAGGAACGGAGTTAGAAGTGAAGAAGGTGAAATTTTGTCCTCCATCCCAAAGGTGAAAACAATCTCAAGAGCTTCAATATTCGTTCCACGCTTCAAACATGAATCAACTATACCTATGACCGATAGAACATTCTGTTAGGACCAGTTCTTGAAACTTTAATCTCAAGAATGCAACAGCAAAGTCATTAAACAGTAATTTCAGTGCAAATAGCAAAGAACCCTAAAATGACATGTGCTCTACAAGTTTATTGCATGGTACATACAATTATACTCCCAAGCTTGATTCTGATTGATTCAATAACAAAAAAAAACCACCTTTGCAATGAAAACTCATCGACTCAAGAGAGAACATGGTACCGGAAACTATTGGGACAAGAAAAGGTGACCGTTTCAGAGCACCAGCAATCTCAGAAGTACCACTCTGCCTTATCAAATCCAACAAATCCATGCTCCTAAAGCTTGAAGGAACCCCAAAACAAGCAATGAGCAGAAGCAAACCCCTTGCGTCGATCGCCTCCGCAGTAGCTAATTTTCCTTCATTCATGATTCTCCTCTTCCAAGCAAAAGCAGCAGCCTCCGCCTCTTCCTTTACAGAGCTCTCAATCATCGACTTGACCTTCTCTTCACCAGGCTCAATCATCAGAAGAAAACACTCAAGAATGAGAAGGGAAACTTGTCTCGCAGGGATCATATGCGAATCATGGGAAAATGCTTTGCGTCCTTGTAAGTAAAATTTCCCAATACATTCCAACACGAACTTCGCTGGCTCCTTGGCTAGCTTCAAACCTGCAGGAATCTCCTCCATTAACTTAGCTCGCTCGGAGATATTCGCGTATATGTATTTGCGCAGGCCTTTGCTGCACATCGACTCGCACAATCGTTGCCCCTCCGCCTTATCATTCGACGTTATCATCTCCGGTGCTGTCTCAGCTTCCTCCGGAGGAGGTGGGCACACAATCGCGGTGGCGATTTCTCGAGAAGCATCGTGCTCAGGCGAGTGGGAGGAGGAATCGTCGACGCCGTTGCTCTTGAGTTTGGATTCAATGGCGTTCTCGATGTCATCCATGTGCTTCTGCAAGTCGTCGTAGTGGCGTTTAAAGGCGTCAAATGCAGCTGAGAACTTAGCTAAATCGTCGATTGATTTCATGAATTGCGGATGTTTAGAGTCCCCGGAGGTGATTTCCTTATTGGTAGGTTCGGTTCTGTTAATCGCCGGGAAGTCTCCCCGTCGTTCAGATTGATCTCGCTGGTGTAGCCGCGGAATCGTCGCCGGCGACGACGGTTTCTCCTCCGTCGTGGATGGATAATGATGGGAGTAGCCACGGGTAGGGATCATAGAACCATTACGGAAAGCCATGGGAATCGCGGAGAAGAAGAAGAAGAAGAAAGATTGTAGAAAGTCTGTGTTTTTATATTAAAAAGCCCTAATTTCGTTTCCTTAGTGAAGAAATTACTAATTCTCTTTTGTCCTCGTTTATAGCTTAATTTTTTTACTAATAATTCGAAAGTCACCTAAATTGATCTGGTTAAAGAAATTGCAGATTTAACAAATTTGTGTTCACGGGAGTTTTTTTCCTCTCTCTTAAAGATAGCACTTTTCCTCTCTCTTAAAGATAGCACTTTTTCTCCCGATTAATATCAAAACTTTTTTTTCCGTTAATCAGATAATAATCTTCGATTTAATCTAGTTATAATTTTCCAACATGATTGGATTATGTTTTGCACTTTCACTTCTGTGTTTGGGTTCTCTTGTAGTTTGAGACTGTGATTCAGATTCCGTGGTAAGTGCTCTATACTTCCCTATAGTCCCTATCATAACTGCAAAAGAGATGGGTTTCGAGTCAAAGATGATCAACGGTGAAACTTAATAAAGAAGCTAGTTTTCTGACCACAATTACTCACTGGATCTCAAAAGAGGAATAATCAAACGGTAAAGGAGCAGCGGTTTTTGAGAAAGATGTAGCCTCGATTGGAGTTTATTATAATCTAGATTTTTTGGATTCTAGTTTTTCGTCAAACCTCTGAACGTCGACGATATTGGCATCATCTTCTCAACGTCAATCAGCTTTCACCCAGGCTTCCATATGTGTTTATCGATCCTTTATCTTTATGATTTGGGTCATAATTGGATTGTAACTTTATCTTTATGATTTGGGTCATAATTGGATTGTAATTTATAAAGCTTGGACCTCAAACTGTTATAATTTATTCATTTATGAGCCTTCGTATAAACGAATAGTTGTAAAAAAAATATTGCAGATTTACAAGATCAATACTAAAATTTTGAACATAAATTTCTGTTAAACATTTACATAAATAGTATTAATTAATCAAAAGTTAAAATAATCAAGTTCTCAAAATTATTTATTCTCAAAATTATTTATTCTAAAAATATTTATCTTGTTCGTTAGGACTATTCAAAAATCGCTTGTATTCTACTAATGTGTGAAAAAAAGTGTGTAACATTTAACTTTTAACAAGTCTTTAATTTGTAAGTTGTAATATTGGCTTTTAGTGTTTTGCAAATGCGCAAAAAATTTCCATCAACTGATAGTCTCAGACGTGAGTTGTGTGATATCGGTCTCTGGCGTGGCAGCTGTACAGAAAACTGAGGAGAGAAGCTTGATATGAGTCCTTATTCTGTATCTAAATTAACATGTTTTCCTACATAGATTTATGAAGTGTGTTAAGGTTTAAATGTTTTCTTTAGAATTTTGTATATGAATGTAATAATTACACATTTATGAATGTCATAATGGGTTAATTTGTTCATTTGGTCTGTTTTACAGTGATCTAAAATATTTTGCACGTTTTGACAGAGCAAATCGCAAGCGGACCATTATCATAAAAACATCAACGATAAGTCATCCCACCATCAGGATAGCAGCTGTCTCCGCCACCCTGCCAAACTGCTCGTTGTTCAATCTTCCAAGAGAATCGATTGGCCGAGCACAATCGATTATCGAGGCTTCTAAGCCCGTGGTCCTTCTCCACTTTCGGTCTATCCCTCAGGTTCAAATCAGTTGTTGGTCTCATTGGTCTTTCGATCAGGATAGCCACAAATTTGTTAGAGTTGGGGATAACGGTTTTAATATCTTCCCTCTCTTTGAGAGTGCTATTTATCCCGAGCTCTTTGCTGGGAAATCTTATGAGGTTTCTTACCGAATTGTTGTCTTGCGTAGCGGTCTGTATGGAACCAGAAGAGGCAAACCGGATCGCTTCTGCGAACCCCGGAGGTAAGACTTCAGCTTCAACGTCACTTGCCAAAGTGACTACTCTCAAACAATCCGGCTTGGCCGTGAAAATGATATTGACGCATTCAAACTTCGTTATGGATTCGCTGTCTTATTATCAAGTGCTATCTTTATTAAGTTCTATCGCTTTTGCTTTGTATTTGAGTTTCAATGGAGGATGTTTAATTCCCTCTTGTTGTTCTATGTTTGATTAAGTAATGAGAAGAAAGATTGTGACAAAAAAAAAAGTCATCCCACCATATATTTCTTTATCATATAAAGGAGAATGATTCGAATGATTCATAGTTAATAATTCATTTGATCATGAAACGTGTCAAGACAAACGATCGAATTTTTGACATTTTATTTAATTAATATTCAGAAAAAAAAATTTATCACTGGTTCCAAATTGTAAAAAGTAAAAGGGAAAAAAAGTTTAGATCAAGAAGAAAAGAAGAAAAAACAATAGATAAAAAAGAATAAAACCACAGTTTATAAAAAAAAAAGTAGCATAAAAAAAATAAACAACATATGTATTACAATTTTAGAACAATTATATTAAAAAACGCCACTGTTCATAAGGAAAAAAAAAAGAAAATTATATATTCAGTTTAGCATATAGAAATTAAACAATATATTACAATCTTAAATCATAAAGATGCTAAATTATGGATTCTACTTATATTTATCTATATATCTAAGAAGTTTTGCTAAAGATATCAAAAACTATTTCTGTTGCCGGGATTCAAACACGAAAATATAATCATTGACATGATATTTTAACCAGAGTGCTACAACAGAACTTTTGTTAAATCATGGATTCTATTTGTATTTAATCATATATCTAAGAAGTTGATATGATCGTGACAAGCTCAGAGGAGGAGGAACCAGAGGTAGCTGGCAGGATCACTCGTTCCATAGCTAGAGAGATGGCTAAGGAGGCTCACGCTCTCATTGCAGCAGAGGACAGTGATCAACTGGAGACTGGAGCTCACATCTTCAACATCTCTATCTTGAAGAATGAAGAACCCAGTAACAATGACTAAGTAACTTAGGTGATGATTCTGTACTTTTTTCCTTGGTGAGGATTTTGGAAGGAAGGAGATTCTTCTCCAAGGTTTTTAACGAGGCAGAAATCATTGCTACGTCGAGTTACTTAGAAGTTGTTACTAATGGGTAATAATGTGCAAAGTCACAATGACTTGTGCACTAGTATTTTAGGCGCACCACTTAGAATTTAGAAGGGACGTCTCGCTGTTTTATTTTTTAATCAAACTTCTTGTTGTTTTTATTTCAAACTTCATGTAGTTTGTTTCTTAGGGCTGCGATTTCTCTCTAAGTCTATTTAAGAGAGAAAATCGCCTAAGTGTTATTCAGTGAAGAATTTTTATCGAAAACCTTATTGTGTTCTTCTCTCTTTTGATTTCTGAGAACAAGAAAACTCTGAAATTCGAATCTTCGTAAAAATTAATCTGTTTACAAGAGATTCTTCTATCTCTCCATCATCATCAATTCGATTATCACACTACCACCACCACCCCATCGAATCGATCTCTCCACCATCACCATCATCGATCCGCCGAGCCACCAACTCTCCTCATCGATCCGATCTCCATAGTTCTATCACGACATCATCAAACCATCATCGCACCTGTAGCCTTTATTCTTCAGAGTAGATCACCTTGGGTCATATCAGAAGTGTTGCTACTTGTATTTATCCATATATATCTAAGAAGTTTTGCTAAAGATATCAAAAACTATTTTCCTTGGCAAGATTCGAACCCATAATATAATATCAAAATGATATTTTAATTAGTGTGTTACAACATAACTTTTGCTAAATCATGGATTCTATTTGTATTTATCCATATATTTAAGAAGTTTTTCTAAAGATATAAAAAAATATATCCATTGTCGGGATTTGAACCTGAAAATATAATGAACAAATGCCCTGAATGCTCCTCACTCTTGAATTTTATTCTATAATACTCCACATACTAATCTTAATTTAATTTTTTTTTTTTAATTCGAAAGTTTAATGTAATGTCTAAAAAACTAAAGAGAGTTTTCGTAATTACAGATCCAACCAGTAAATGGGTCGGGTACTGGGTTTTCCGATGGGTTTGGGTCGGATCTGAGTAATTTGTGTAATTATTTTTTTTGCTGCTTCTCTTTTTCAAATAAAAAAAAAATTAAATAAAAAAAAACGAGAGAAGAGGCGAGAAGAGGAAGAACACTAAATTGGAAATCGGGCATTTAAAAAAAAACCCCAATTGTCAGCCTTCAGAACTCGATTGGCGGCAAATCATCCCCTACATCACTCGATCGTCTTTTGTTGTGATGGCTCGGACGAAGACAACCTCCGCAAAACCTCCAACCTCCGCAAAACCTAAAGGAGGTCCACCGACCCTAAGCGAATTACGCAAAATGGTGAGGAGTCGGCAAGAGAAAGTGAAAGCCGGCAACAATGATGACGATACAAATGTGGAGGTATGATTCGTCCATATGGATTACTGTGTGCATTAAGTAAAACTGGACAAACGAAGTAAAACTGGAGCAACTAAACGAAATTGGTACAACTAATGTAGGTGAACGCCGAGGAAAAAGAGAAGAAAGAGATTCCGAAATACCAAGAGGAGGAGGAAGAAAAGGACCAAGAGAAGGATGAAGTAAAAGACCAAGAGGAGGAGAATCCGAAAGACCAAGAGGAGGAGGAAGAAAAGGAACAAGAGGACGAAGAAGATGAGGTATTAGAGGAGGAGGAAAAATCAGACCACGAGGAGGAGATAGAAAAGGACCAAGAGGAGGAGAAAGGTGAGGAACTTGAGGAGGAGGAAAATGAGGAACAAAAGGAGGAGGGGGAAGATGATGATGAACAGGAGGCAGAAGACGATGATGAACAGGAGGCGGAAGAAGATGTAGACTATCGAAGCCAAGCTATACCACCAGAGAAGTTGTGCTTTGAACCCGGTATGTTTAATATCAACATCAAGCTGTCAGGAAGATGCTATATTGAGAAGGTTGTGAAAACGTTAGAAAAGGTGCTAGATGAAAGAGAGTTGAAATGGTTCAAAACGCACCCTCAGTTCAAACACTTCTTCCACATGTACTTGGAAGAAAATCATAAATCGCAGGGGATGTGGATGCTTATTCTGTGTATGGTGCCATCAAGCAAGATGAAGGAATGCTGGTTTGTAGTAAATGGGGTGCCCATCTGGTATTCTTTGAGAGAGTTGGGGCTTATTTCTGGATTAAACTGTCGAAGCTACCCTAAGAACTACGAAAGGTTAGGTGGTGACAGTAGTAAGTTTGTTGCAAAGTATTTTGGTGAAGGGAAGAAGAAAGTAACACTGAAGAATGTAGATGAGAAGATGGAGTCAATGAAATCAAGTAAAGTGAGAGGTAGGATGAATATTGCTGTACTTCTTAGCCAACAGAATTGGTAGGAAGACGAAGACAGGTAATACTGCTGCAGGTGTAGAGCCTTCTTTTTGAGAGCGGCTAGTGATTTAGATTTATGTGAAATATTTCTGTGGGGACGATTTGCATTTGGTCAGAATATGAAGGACATTCGCAATATAGTGAAGAATTTAAATAGGAATGTGCCTGAAGGTGCGAACAAAGTGTTTCCTAGTTTCATTATTCCTATGGAGGTAAATAAGAATAACTGTCATAATGTGTTGTCTGATTCTTCGTATGTTTGTTTCTTGGTAGACATTTTAGAGAAGCTGTTGTAGAAGCCGAGGATAGCTGTCCAAGGATGTGCAAGAGCAGGTTCAAGAAAAGAGATTTGAAAGGTTTTGGAAATAAATTCTCAACTTGGTGCAACAAAGGTTAGAACTCAAATCTTAGCAAATAATTGAGTATATTCTCCATTGCTAGGATCAACCTGAATGGTTTTTTTTGTGGTTTTAAAAGGATATTCATAGTGTGCTGGCTGCATCGAAGCAACTGCGGGCTCTCATCATGGACGATGAGGATATAGACCAAGATGTAGCGGATTATGTTGTTGATGGTTGGAAATCGATTTTGCTGGAGGAGAAAAGTGAGATATTCTTTGAGGAAATGTTCAAAAAAGATGTCAATAGCCGAAAGAACAAAGGGAAAAAAGCATCGGGTCCTAAAACACCAGCTCGTAAAACCGCATCGACTCCTACAACTACAATAGAGGTAGAGAAACTGATTGCAGGCTTAAAGGGCTTGACGAAAACAGTGGAAGATGGGTTTATGGAAATGAGAAAAAAGTTAGATGATCATGAGAAAAGAATCAAAAAGATGAAGCTGTATGTGGGTGAAGAGAAGAAAAGAATTCAAGAAGACGAAGATAATCGTCTTAACTTTGATGCAGATTACCATGGCGGTGGTGAGGAGGCAAATGATGGCGCTGGTTGTGCTGGGAAGAAGCAAACAGAAGGAGAGAATGTGGAAGAAAATGTGGAGAAGAATAAAGAAGAGAACGAGGAAGGAGCTGATGGGGAGAAGGATAAAGAAGAGAACAAGGAAGGAGCTGATGGGGAGAAGGATAAAAAAGAGAACGAGGAAATAGACGGAGAAGTGCCAACCCGTGTAACCAGGACTAGTGTACGAACAAAAAAAAAATCACAATACAAACAAACCCCTTTTACAGAAGATAAGAAAGGGAAGAAAAGGTCAACGAATGATGAGAAGAAGAAGGGAGCTCCCAAGGGAAAGAAACAAAAGACTTAGAGTTTAGGGGCTGGTTTATGACCTTTTTTAAGACTTTTGCTTGTACGATTTTGCTATTCTATTTTGCTTGGACCTTGTTTTAAAACTTATGCTTGTAATATTTTGCTATTCTATTTTGCTATTCTATTTTGCTTGTACGGTTTATAACAAGTTTGGTGGCACAACTGGTAAAATTGGAAGTACTAATCAGCTAAAAAGGGTTCAGAACAAATTTGTTTGTTGGCACAACTGGTAAAACTAGAAGTACTAATCGACTAAAAAGGGTTCAGAAAAAATTTGGTGGCACAGCTGGTAAAATTGGAAGTACTAATCGGCTAAATTCGTTTGAAGAACAAATTAGTTTGTTGGCACAACTGGTAAAACTGGAAGTACTAATCGGCTAAATTCGTTTGTAGAACAAATTTGTTTGTTGGCACAACTGGAAAAACTGAAAGTACTAATCGGCTAAATTCGTTTGTAGAACAAATTTGTTTGTTGGCACAACTGGAAAAACTGAGAGTACTAATCGGCTAAATTCGTTTGTAGAACAAATTTGTTTGTTGGCACAACTATAAAACTGGAAGTACTAATCGGCTAAATTCGTTTGTAGAACAAATTTGTTTGTTGGCACAACTGGAAAAACTGGAAGTACTAATCGGCTCCATTTAAAATAAAATAACATAAGATCCATAGTTGTACCTCTTAGTTGTAACATAAAACTATACATAGTTGTACCTCTTAGTTGTACAGTTTGTCACACTCTCAAATAGTTGTACTTTTGTCGAATTCTAGTTTTTTTGGTATTACCTATGATTAATAAAACATGTGTTGGTTGTACCGATCATAACTGCTAAATTAAAGAGATTACTAGCACATTTATTAAATAAGATTTAAGATATGTCAAAGTTTGATGATATTGGTTTATATCAAGGCTATTTGTTTCAAAGTATCCATAAAACTTATGATATTATATGGGATAAGTGTGCCCAAACGGTTTTCATAATTTGAAAATTTTGGAATACACATTGTTTTTAGTACATATTATACATTTATATAGATATTAAATTACATATACTCTGGAACTATATGTTATTTTTAAAATAACATATATAAACCCTGATTAAATATATAGACAACTTTACAAATAGTTGTTCTAAGTAGTTCCAGTAATACCAAAAACTCGAACATACAGGGTTTAGGACAATAGCCAGGAAGTTATTTCAAGTAATTCCAGTAATACCAAAATCTCGAACATACAGGGTTTAGGAGAATAGCCATGTAGTTGTTCCAAGTAGTTCCAGTAATACCAAAAAATTCGAACATACAGGGTTTAGGACAATAGCCGGATAGTTGTTCCAACTAGTTACAGTAATACCAAAAAATTCGAACATACATGGTTTAGGACAATAGCCGGGTAGTTGTTCAAAGTAGTTCCAGTAATACCAAAAAACTCGAACATACAGGGTTTAGGACAATAGCCGGGTAGTTGTTCCAAGTAGTTCTAGTAATATCAAAAACTCGAACATACAATGTTTAGGACAATAGCCGGGTAGTTGTTCCAAGTAGTTCCCATAATATCAAATACGTAAACATACAATTTATAAATCTCCGGGTAGTTGTTTCAAGTAGTAACAGTATTACAAAAAAAAAATTACAAATTACAAATAGCCGGGTAGTTGTTCCAAGTGGTTCCAGTAATACCAAAATTCAAAAATGCAAATTACACAGTTTAGTTTGACTCCGCGTTTGTCCCGTCCGTCTCCGCGTTTGTCTTCGAACCTTGACTACAATGTCACCAAGTCATTGCAAAATTTTGTCCTGGCACCCGTTTGTTACCACGGCGGTGTTCTCCCATGGATGTGAACCTCTTATCCCTCTTTCATCATTTTTTTCGTTTGGGAAAATCTGGTGGTTTGTAGACAAAACCACATGTTTCAGCTGGAATTAACCACTAATATCTAGGCGGTACTGAATAGATCGTCCTCACGTATGCCAACTTTTACTGGTCAGTCCAATAATATCTAGAGCACAGATCATGGTAATAGAAATACCTGGATCCATCTTTTTGTTCGTTGCATTTCATAGCTGCAGCTAACGCATGTACACAGGAGTACTTGTCTATGTCAAAATGCTTGCACTCACAAGTTTTCTGTAACAAGTATACCACATAAGCATTTCCATCTTTTCCAGTAACTTTGTATATGAACTCGAAACTGTTTAGTTCCACAACAACTAGTTTCTTGGCAACTAAACATCTCAAGTGCAATATATTCTCCACATAAGGCACTAATTTCTCTGTCACCTGACCAAATGCAGCCTCCTTCCTATGTCTGTTAAACCATTCACTAAATTTTGCTACAATCACATCGATCATGGCCAAAATTGGTAACCTCCTAGCTTTCTTAAAAACACCATTTATCGACTCTACACTATTACTAGTGTCAATGTTGTACCTTTCACCAGGAAAATAACATCTTCTCCAGTATTTCACACTATTGATGGTCTCTGTGCCACCTTCCTGCCTTTTTTCAAGATAAGTGACAGCGGTTGGGTACCTCCTTTTAAATTCACCACACTTTTGCAGAAACTCAGCTTCTGTGTACACCCTTGCGCACTCTCTGAATTTTTCAGCAGCCTCCTCTTTGTTCACATAATAAACATGAGATTTCACATTTTGCGACATATGATATATACAAAAGCCATGTTGAGCCCTCGGGTACACTTCGCCAACCGCTTTAACTAAACTTTGATTACGGTCAGTTACAAAAACTAACTCACCAGTATCTGGAAAAATGGTTTTCAACCTTTCGAAAAACCAATTCCAACTTGCATCTTTTTCACCATCAATAACACCAAATGCAAGAGGGTAATGGTAATAATTAGGGTCTTGAGCTGTTGCAATAACTCAAACACCATTATAGCCAGCCTTCAGAAATGTTTCATGTACAATAATAACTTTCCTCATTCCTTCAAACTCTTCGACGCAAGGTCCAAGGGCGACAAAAAGGTACTTGAACCTCTCTTCACCGTCTAAACACAATTTTGTTTTTGTTCCAGGATTAGCCTGCTCCAACATGTATAAGTAAGAAGGCAGCAACAAGAAACTCTCCTCTGGATCCCTGATCACTTCATTACGAGCTATATTTCTCCCTCTCCATGCAGTAGCATAAGACACTGACACACCGACCTCTGTTTGAAGCAAAGTCATAATTTCAGCTAGTGTTGTGGTCTGCAACTGACTTGCACACTTTTCCTTCACCAAAGATGCAACCAACCTTTTTGTGCCTCTTGTGCTAGCGTAGCCACTACGTGACACCCAGGAGCATGTATGCATTTTATTATATCTGGTAACTCTGAAAAATCCTGATTTTGCACCTTTCACAACTCGAATATGCCAAGCACAACCTTCTTTTTCAGCAGCACATTTCACCACCCACCGCTCTTATCCAATTTCTTAAGTGAGATCCCAAAATATTTACTAAGTGAAGCTCTCTAAACTAAATCTATCACAGTTTTCTTGGATTCAAACTCTTTAACTCCTGACCTGTCCCATCTTCCCATGCTTCTATTGACTGAGTTCCTTGAGAAGGACGTGGGAACTCTTCAATTTCAACTATCGCACCCCTATCTACCCCTCCATCAAAACTGTTATCCATCCCGTCATCAGAACTATTCCCTCCATCGTCCTCACAACTATTTTTCCCATCGTCATCAGAATTGTTCTCCCCACCGTCATCACCATTGTTATCCACATGATGCATTATCAGAGCACGTGATGCATTATCATTTCCAGCTATGATATCCTTAGTCGCCTCTTCTTGTAAAGTTTTATCTCCCTCATTTCCAAAGTGCGGAATAATTGCACTACCATCACCTCCGTAATTTACACCAAATGAACTATATCCACATCCCCACGGATCTTATATGACTTTCACCTGCCGACCATTTCTACAGTCACGATCATCCACAACGGACAGATATCCATAAACGTCGTCATCGCAAGCCACATAAACAGGAAGACTATCATTCACTAGCACCGGAAGAAAACTCAATTTAAGTTTTGTCGTGTTTTCATCTACCTCAATCTTCTTGCATGTCTTTTCTACAAACAATTTATATGTTATCTCTTCTACAGATGTTGCTCTGAATGTTATCAAGTACATGCAATGCTCTTTTGCTTTCCATCGGTAGTCACCATCGGTATATACTCTAGTAGTAGAATTAATGATTATGGAACCCTTGTTCATTGAATCCTGCAAAAAACAATTATAAAAGTATTCAGTAATACAAAGTTGTACCAGTTATACTACTAGTCTCAGTCACAATATTTCTCAGTTGTACCAGTTATTCCATTATTCTCATTCTCAGTAATACCCAGTTGTTACAGTAATTCCAGTGTTCTCAGTATTACCTAGTTGTTACAGTTATTCCATTAGTATCAGTAATACCCAGTTGTTACAGTTATTTCATCATTTTTAGTAATATCTAGTTTTAACAGTAATACCAAATCTGGAGACGGGTGGATGTTCAATACCGATGCAACAATCAAAGAAAATTCTGAGACAATACAGTCTGTTTCGATATAATGCAATTCAACCAAACCTATATCCAAATCTACCCAGATAGTAGAGATGAATACAAGTTCAATAACAATGAACATAATTCGTTTTCATCCAGAATCAAAACCTGCATTTGTTCTTCCCAAAAAAAAAAAATTTCTTTTGTTTGGAGGAGTTGTCGGGGAAGAAGAAGCTCAGCTGCGGGTTTCTTTTTTTTTTTTTTCAGATTTTTCTTTTTTTTTTTAAATTCTCATTTGTTTTTTTGTTTAGAATATTCAGAAACAAAAAAAATAATATAGAAAATTGATTTCATTAAGAGTATAATCGACAATTCCAACAAATGAAAGTATTTGGAATTTTTAGGAGTATGGCGGAATAATTTTTAAGAGCTTGGAGCACTCTAACACAAACTCCAAATATAATCATCAAAATGATATTTAACCAGTGTGTTACAACATAAATTCTGCTAAATAATGGATTCCACTTGTATTTTATTCATATATCTAAGAACTTTTGATAAAGATATCAAAAAATATTTCCATTGCCAGGATTCGAACCCTGAATTATAATTATCAAAATCATATTTTTAAACAATGTGCTACAACGAAACTTTAGTTAAATCATGGATACTATTTGTATTTATAATACATCTAGGAAGTTTTACTAAAGAGATCAAAATATAATTTTGTTGCGGGGATTCAAAGCCAGAAATATAATCATAATATTTTAACTACAGTCAAAGCCGTGTCCAGAGTTTCAGGACCCGTAAGCGATATTAAAATAAATCCCCAATTAACTATCATTGTTACAAATTTAATAAACCCAATATGATTCATATAAAATAAGTAATAACTATAATCGTTTTAAATTATATAAACCCAATAATACATAAATAATTACTATTTTTTTGTCAACAGCCTAAGTATTTAGAACGGTTCGATTAACCAAAATGGTGGTACCGAGTTTACATAGATAACTTCTTGAGGGTAGACACGAGCACTTCTTGCTAAGTTATCTGTCTTTAAATTTTTTGCACGTGGAACATAAATAATTACCATTATCATTTTTGAATTCACAAAACTACAATAAATATATATAATTTAAACTTATTTTAATATAAATTCTGAATTATACTTCCTAATTAACCAATTATTTGAGTTTTCATTTGTAATTAAATTTAAATCACAAATCAAATTAAATCTGATATTAGATGAAAAAATTATATTAAAAAAATACTTAGTAACAAATACCAATTAAATATGTGGTTATTGTGGTAAGAAAAATAATGAGTTGTAAAGATCTTTAATAAAGAAAAGAAGAATAAAAACATAATATTTTTTTATTGTTTAAGTTGTTATGTGTATTATTTTAATATTTTATTGTATTATTAGATTAAGTTTTAATTAGTTAATTGAACATTTCAATCTATTCTATTAAAACAGAAACACATTTATTGCTTGCATCCAAACACTCCCAAATTGTTTTTTATAATATTTTATTTTATTTTTATATTTAATTTCCGAAAATTAGTTATTAATTTAGATATTTTTAGATTTCCTAAAATCTAGGTCATCTTTAATTTAAATTTCAAATTATTAAAAATTTAATTAAATTTAGTTACAAAAATTTGCATTCAATTTAATTTAAATTCAAAAAAATAAAAAAAAACTATAATTAAAATTTATTACGAAAATTTAGATAATAATTTTAATACTTTAGAATTTCTTAAATACAGGAAATATTTAATTTTAAATTTTAAATTTAAATAATATTTTTATAAAAATGCATAGTAAATAAATATTTTATCGTATTTTATCATAAACAATCAGTCTAAAATATCAAATATTTAAGATTAATAAATATTTATATTATACAATAATATGATCGAGCTGATTAGAGTTATATATATATATATATATAAGATTCATGAATTAATTTATTAAAACATGTAAGATATTAAGATGATTTGAAAACTAACAGGTTAGCCCGTATATATATATACATTTTTTTAATAGCACAAATAGTAAATAAATATCTTATTATATTTTTTTCATAATCAATTGGTCCAAATATTCCATATTAGTATTTATAGGGTTATACAATTATAATTATAGTCTTATACGGGTTAGTTTGTCAAAACATGTAAGATATTAAAAATGATTTAAGACAACTAAACGGATGGATTAGTAAATTCATAGATATAAAGATTGTTTATGTGTAAATCTAAATTCACATAATAACAAAGTTTATAATTAACATTAGATCAATGTATACTTAATTAACGTATACTCTTATTTTACTAATATACAAATTTTACTGTTTAAAATTAAAATACAATAACAATTTTTTATTTAAAAAATAAATAACAAAAACAAATTATATCTAAACAAATAAATAAATGTAACTTATATTAGATATAAAAAATAAAACATTTCCGTGCGTTGGATTAAAATCTAGTTGTTTTTAAAAAAGTGAAGCCATAGGCGAGTGTTTCTTTTTTCCTATTTGGTAAGAACTAGCGGATAACTAGCGAACCCATAAGCTGACTTTTAATTCGAGTAACAAATATTTCATATTAAACCGTTAATACAATTACCTAACCGCACTAATCACTATGTATCTTTATAATATATATACAAGTTTGCGACAAGCAATTGAGATTCAAGTATAAGACGAGTGACTATAACCAAAGAATCCCTTATATACAATCCTCCAATGGTGAAAAACTAAGCGATCGATGTCTTGTCTGTAACTCGTACAGTGGATGAATCTGGTTTGGTCCGAACTGATGGGTTTCCGGTATCATCGAGAACCACGAAAGCAGTGTCACCAGGCTTGAAGGTCCCAGCAAGAAAGGCTTCGCTGAGTGGATTTTCCACAATCTCTGTGAGTGTTCTACGGAGTGGCCGTGCACCGTAGGCCGGATCATAGCCTTGTCTGCATATGAGCTCCTTGACGGGTTCAGACACCTCTAAACCGACTCCGAGTGCCACGAGCCTCGACTTCAAGTCTTGTAGCATCAGGTTCAAGATCTCCATCATCTGCAAAAACCGGAGTTTGAAGGTTCACATAAACCAACATATAAACCAGATTCTTCGGTTTTGATAAATGTATTCAGTATTGT